CCCCCCCCCCCCCATTGCCTCCTTGGATCAGGATTGCTTCAGGAGGGGGGGGGGAGAGCAGCCTCTCATCAAAATTCCAGAAATGCCCTCAGGCGGGGAAGCCCCATTTCACTGGAATGCATGAACAGGGCTAGTCTTAACGTTGGATCAGGAAGACCTGGGTTCAGGATGGCGGTCGGAGCTCAACGAGGATAGACATGCAGTGAGGTGCTCCGTGTGCTTCTATCCTCAACCTACACTCTCTTTGGCAATTTTTGCAGCCAAGGTATTCTACTTTTTTGAGAATACTTGCTAGAGACTTTAAAAAACAACCAGGGGGGCGTGGCGCTGGGTCCGATGGAGGCAGCCGCTTGAAACCCTAGCTCCGACCCTTTCAACCCCCGAACTAGATGAATATTTAACCTAGAAACTACAGATTGTTAAAAGAATGGGCAGAACTGACTCAGCTAAAGCTGCAGCAAATACGGCAACTCCCCAAAATACTCAAAATTACTTTTTGAAGACATCTCACGGCAAAACTCTCAACAAGGGCCCTGAGGAAACCGTTAGAATGGCGACTGACGCGGCTTCAACGGCTCTGCCCAACAACCCACCATCTGAGGCGTCTCTCTTAAACATGTTTGCGAACATGGAGAAAAAATTATTAGATAGCATGTCGGCTCTCATAGCACCACTAACTGAGAAGATTGCGGAGCTCTCAGTCTCTTTAAACAAGGTCAGTCACACAGCGGAGCAAGCCCAAGAAATAAGCACCAATTTAAAAACGGATGAAGATGTCTTACAAAATGAAACTGAGTTTTTACGGGACCGGGTGGTGGCGTTGGAAACCGCGGCTCGTAAGACCCATTTAAAATTAAGAAGTTTCCAAGAAAAAGTTGAGAATAATATCGTTCTTCAGATCTTTTTAGCAGAGTGGCTAGCGCGGGAAATGAACTTAGAAGATGGCGTCGTCCCCATAATTTTATCTGCGTATCACATAGGCGCGGCAGAACCTACACGTTTCAGAGGTCCCAGGGGCATTATAATCGAAGTGCCTGACTTCAGGACTAGAAGGAAAATTTTAGAAACTGCACGGGCAAAAGGATTGCTATCATATGACGGAGCCCCTATTCAAGTCTTTCCCGATCTACCAAGAGAAGTACTGAGCAGGAGGAGAGATCTGCGCCCAGTCACAGAAGCGTTAAGGCAAGCTAAGATCCAGTACAGATGGCAGAACTTGACTAATCTACAAGTGAATGTTAAAGACGAACTTTATAATGTAAGAAAAATAGAAGTCGGGCTCAAGCTTTTACAGGCTCTGCACATCACACCGCAAATGGACACTAGCAAAGCTTCTCGTAAACGGGAGCATCCGCCATCCCCGAGCAAAGACAGCAAGCAGATCATCAGAAGTGTTTAATAGTGAATGATGGTAGTCCTGAGGGGAAAATGAAATTAAAAAGTTCCAGTTTGCAGTTTACAGTTTGTATAATGAGTTAGCATTAAGGTATTCAATCTTCTAGGTTCTGAGAACACGTTTCAAGATCTGGTTGATAGTTTTTTAAAAAATATGAAGTGAAATGCATAAGTTCGGGGGGAGGGGGGAGGGTTGTTTACTCACATACAGTATCTAACAGTCCTTTTTATTCAGAGTGTTCTCTGTTAGCTTGGGGGGTTAATTAAACTTGCCAGGCTAAGTGGGACTGACATTTTTACGTGTTTGTTGTCATTTCTTTTCTCATTAACTAATTGCTGAGACCTCATTCTATAATTAAGAGTCATTGTCTGTCTGAATAACTACAGAAATAAGCATCTAACTTTGCACGTCATTTCCTTATTGATATGGATTTAAGCTTATACTCAAGGGTGATTAACGGTGTGTGGTGGTTTTTTATTCTATTGTTTGTATTAAATTCGCAAAATCTGTTAATACCTACAAGACACAATTAATCGCCTTTTACTCTGAGGAGTCTAAATTTATTAATGTATGATTGATAGGTAATTTTAAATTAATTGAGTGTCCAGTTAATTCCATACATAATTATAAGTTATAAAGATACTTTTTTAATTCAATTTTTAAATTTACTAAGTTATAATCAACTACATCTTGTTATTATAAGTGATCTAATTAATTATAGTGAGACCAACTTGATTTTATAAAATATTTGGTAAATTGAAATTTCAAGCAACCGTAATCGCTTAAGGAATTTTTATTAATCAATTCTAAAAATTTATTACAGGGTTGTCAAGAACATCATATTCTGACGCTAAGTATAAGAGGGCAGCTTTATTCTAACTGACAAAACTTATTTATTAAAATACAATACTATCTCATAGTTCTACCGAGGTACTGGACTTGCAGCAAAGGTATAAGCAATTCTTAAGCATAAATCTTTAATTGAAAGTGTAATAAATGGCCCGCAGGCTTATTTTTATTCCTAACTTCAGATCTCTTCTCCTATTCATCAGAACCAAAATATTGTAACTTCTGGCGTATTGGTCACATCCTATTTAGTTTCTCTGTACCACAACAGTAATAATCAAACACGATGAATGCCACCCGGAAGGTCACATCACAAAATATCAGAGGTCTTAACAATTTAGTCAAGCGCAAGAGGGTTTTAACATATTTGTCCAAAACCAACTCAGAGGTGTTTCTGCTGCAAGAAACCCATCTACATTCTAAGAACCAACTAGAACTCAAGGCAAAATGAGCAACATCAGTATCATGCTAAAGGGAACTCCAGATCGAGGGGAGTTGCAATACTCCTCACCAACAAAGTCCGTTTTCAACATCAATCTACACTAGCAGATCCTAACGGCCGCTTTATTTTCATAAAAGGCCATCTTAATGAGCAATTAGTTACACTGGCTTCAGTGTACGCACCCAATGTAGCACAGCTTTCGTTCCTAACTGATATTTTGGCAGCATTAGAAACCTTCCATGAGGGGGAAATAATACTTGGAGGGGACTTTAATTTAATAATGAACCAAGACATAGATCGCTCCAATGATCGAGGCCCTGACCAAGGTTTAAAAGAATTATTACAGCAATATAAATTAATAGACACATGGAGATATATCCATCCAACTGATAAGGACTTTACCTTCTATTCTGCCAGACATGCGGTATACACGCGCATTGATTATATCCTAGTATCTGATAGCATAATTCACACAGTCATAGATTCAGCAATAGGTTCAATCACCTGGTCCGATCATGCAGAGGTGAACTGTGTGCTGCAGTCATATTCCAAACAAATCTGGCACAAAACTTGGTCACTTAATAAATCTCTACTGCTTAACGACCAAAGCATAGAATCAATTGACTTACATATTCGCCAATATCTAAAGGAAAACTGCACAGGAGAAACGTCTTCTTCAATGACTTGGGACGCACTGAAAGTAGTACTTAGAGGTCATCTTAATGAACAAAGAAAAAACAGCTATAAGGGAGGTTATACAAAACAAGATCAAGCTTCTAGAAGGAAAACATAAAACGACAGGGAGCACTAAAGTTTATAGAAAACTATTATCCGAGCGTAAAGCACTAGAACTAATGGACAGTTCGCAAATACAAAAAAATCTCCTGTATGTGAAACAAAAGTACTGGATTAACTCAACAAAAACCTTGCGCCTGTTATCCTGGCGAGTCAAAGACAAAAGACTATCCAGAAATATACTATCTGTCAAAGACCAGTAAGGGAAAGCACATACGGATCCCATATCAATTAACAAAGTCTTTGCGGACTTCTATCAATCGCTATATTCATCATACTTCTATCAATCGCTATATTCCCGCCCACCCAGCGGCTCGAAAGCAATTAACAACTAAGCGAGTAGACAAATGGGTACCTACCCTTAGATGGGTAGGGGGCATCCTCCTCCGACGAGGTGTGTGGTGACGGCACAAACAGCGACGAAACATCGGCGGCGGCAAGCATTGGCAGTGGAGGCGGATGGCGATGCAGCAGCAACAAAACGTCGACAGAGCAATCCCTGGTGGCCAGCAGAACATCGTGCGGCTGGTGGAGGCGGAGACCGGGAGGCACACGATGACGTGTAACGCGGGCATGGCGGAGCCTAACGGACAGAGCCGGAGCCGAAGCGGACATGGGTCATGCGCCTGCACAGTCCCGCCGACGAGAGTCGCCCTGAAAACACCAGAGACTGCCTGGAAGAAGCTGAACTGGAGCAACAACAACGCTCATCACCTGGGTGCCGGTAGGCAGCCCCGCCCCTGTATCATGTGGCCCAAGTTAGGGATCAAAGTGTTCTTAGAACTCAATATATGTAAAACGCCCAGAGACCCTCCATGGTTAGAGCGGTATAGCAAGTCGAAGTATAAATAAATAAATAAATAAATAAATCATCTAAACCCTCCTCTGAAGATATTCAAACTTATTTAACATCGAACATACATATCAAAAAACTTACTGAAGAACACCGTGAAATTCTAGAAAGAACTATAGAGCCGCAAGAAATCCTTGAAGTCATAAAGAACTTGAAAAATAACAAATCAGCCGGTCCGGACGGATATCCACCGGAGTTCTATAAGAAATTTGCTAACATATTGATCAATCCTTTGGCAGACGCCTGCAACAATATACTATTGACTGGACAACTCCCTCCATCTTGGAGCACAGCAGCCATAATAGCAATACCAAAACCTGGAAAAGAAGGCTCAAACCCAGCATCTTATCGTCCAATATCACTCCTGAACCAGGACTATAAAATTTTTACAGCGATTTTAACCAAAAAAACGAAGTCATTCATCGCAAATTACATCCAGCAAGACCAAACGGGTTTCGTACCAGGTAGAGACATAACAGACAACATCTTTAAAACACTGAATATTATGTCGTCATGTGAAAAATCAAAAGTAGAATCAATACTCTTATCACTTGATATAGAGAGTGTTTGACTCCCTGGAAACATTGTACCTGACTGCATTACTATGTTACATGGGTTTTGGATCTAGGTTCCTTCGAGCTGTCACCTCAATTTATAAATCTCCAACTGCTCAAATCAAAATAAATGGATTGTCATCTAAGACCATACCGCTAAAGAGAGGCACCCGGCAAGGTTGTCCATTGTCGCCGATACTTTTTGCCCTGGCTTTAGAGCTTTTGGCGGCTGAAGTCAGAAACAATGAAAACATCCAAGGAATCACGGTGGGTCCCCAAATCTTCAAATTGAGCCTTTTCGCAGATGACATGCTGGTATACATGACAAATCCTGATACATCTATGTTCCACTTGCAGCAAACCTTAAAGGATTTTGGCGTAATTTCAGGACTTAAGGTCAACCACTCCAAATCTCTCATAATGCCGTTAAATCTGGTATTATCTACGGAGCAACATCTGAAAAAACAATACAAATATCAATGGACTAACAAATCTCTTCGGTACCTGGGAATACACCTAACCAGGAAAATAGCTGATCTGTATCCCCAAAATCATCAATCCAAATTCTCAGAAATCAAAAGTGAACTGAACAAATGGGAAAAGCTTCAACTGGGCTACTTAGACAGAATGCACTTAATTAGGTCATTCATTCTACCTAAACTATTATATCTATTTCGTACGATTCCTATAGAATTATCAAATGACACACTTAACAAATGGCAAAAAACATTAAACTCATTCCTTTGGCAAGGTAAACGACCGAGGACAAACTTTATGACACTTAGGAAGAGGCCTTCACAAGGTGGGCTAAACTATCCAGACTTGCGGCTGTATTACAAAGCGACAATGTTGGTCCCTATAATTAAGATGCTGCGCCATGGCAACAATATAGATTGGGTCAAACCATTAACCCCATTGATATCTTCTATCACGATCCAGGAGTGCATTTGGAATGCATCAGGTGAGCGTCCTTGCAGCATAAAAGACAACATATTTCTGACAGCCATCCTGAAGAATTGGGACTCTTGTCGTTCATTATTACTCCCAAAATACTCAAGGTTCACATCTTTTCATTCTCAATCCTGGTTCTTACCTGGATGTGACACTGGAATAATAGAAAGCTGGAAGAGAGCAGATTTAACTCGTTTGATTGATATTATGACAAAAGATGGCCTCTCATCTAAAATGCTACTAGAAAACAAATTGGAAAAACCTATTCCATGGTTTTTTTACCTCCAACTAAATCACATGGTTCAACACTTGGATCTAACCTACTTACTGAAAGTCCCAATGACTCCCTTTGAAAAACTAATTGATCCCAAAAACACAGTGTCTAAAGGTATGATCACAGCGACATACGATGTCCTAATTCATCAAAAAGGAGAAGCACCAACGAGACAGCAACAACATTGGCAACATGATTGTGGAAACACCATAACTCCCCTTCAATGGCAGCAAATATGGGAATCTAAATTGATGACTTCGCCGGTCATCTCAACGAAATTGCAGATGCACAGGATCGTCACCAGATGGTACCCGATGCCAGAGCGACTCTCCAAGATGACTTCA